GAGCGCCCGCGGCAGGGGCGACTCCGCTGCCGTCTGTTTTGATCGCGAGCTGGAAACGAAACTGGGTGAGCCGTGCTGGCTCGGGCCGTTTCCCTTCGCCGCTGCGGGATTTACGGCCGCTCTTTCCGGCAGCCCCCGGCGGGAGGGGGCGGTCGGCGCCGAGCAGTGACACGTGTGCTGCGGGCAGCCGAGCCCGAGCGTCCCCAGCCCGCTGCCAGCCCCTCTCGGCCGACCTGAGCGGGGCCGGGGCAAACGGGGGCTGGGAAACTCGTCAGGTGCCGCTCGTTATCTGTTCACAGGAAAAACAGCGTCTGGCGTGAGCGTGAGGTGGCTTTTTCCGTCGTGAAAGTTATTTCCCTGTGTCCGGTGTGCTCTGTGCCTTCTTGGCCTAAGCTCTTACGTGGTGTAACTTAAAAGGCCGAGGCTGGGCTTGATCAGAAGAGCCGTGTTCGCACCTAGCATTTCGAAGATGCGTTTAAGACCTTGAATTCAATTAAGTTTAGTAATGAGCTGTTTTGGAACGATTTTAGAGCGGTTGGTGGGTGTCTGCACAAGTTACAAGTTTTTAAAACGGCTTTGGGGGAACAGTCGCTATTTAAATCCTTGTACGTAATGGTAGAATCGTTTAAGAGCGCTGCTTAAAAGCCTTTTTATATTAACGTGACCAGGTAAGTCAGCCTTCCTTTCCCCGCCCCCGAGGTTTGAGTGACACAAGCGTTAGTAATGTTGATAATACTCTGAAACATTGCGAGTGACTGAGCAAAGTATGGAGACAGCAAAGGGGGGGTATGGAGATGAGAAAACAGCTGAGATAATTGAAGAGCCAACAAAGCTGAATTTACTGGAGAGGTGACATTGCTTCTGTGAAAATGTTAGGTGGTTATGAAAAAAGCTAATGCAAATGTTACTTCATGAATGAATATGGCTGGTATTTCAGTGAAAGGTTTCCCCATGCTCATCCATTTGGAGACTGCTGTTTCAGACTTCCAGTCCCTGACTCAGGAAGGAAACAGGTGTAGAGCAGTGGTAGGAAGAAATAAAATCACCAGGTTTAAGAAGAGCAGTTTTTCCTCTCACATTCTCTGACCATTTCTAGAGAAAAGTACCTGAAGAAGAACTTCCTGAAGTTTTGTATTTAGAATAGAAAAGCTTCAGGTGATACTTCCCTCTTTTTTTTTCTCCCCCCCCCCCGTTTTTGTTTTTTTTTACAGCTATTTGTAGGGAGGTGCCGCCTCTGCATTTTATATTCATCTGGTTTGTAGTCTTAATCCTACATGACACAGAAGTTTCCATTGCAGATATCATACTAGGACTTAAAGTGAAAATGTGCAGGGAACAGATGGCATTTAAAAAAAAAACCTAAGTCCTGTTTTTTCTGCGGATGCCTCAGAAATAAGAGAAGCAGAATGCAGATGTGATATATAACAAATCAAGTGGAAGTGCACACTTTCTGAATTGTTAGGAAAATACTCAGAACATTTTGCAGGGTATGGTCACTGTGTCTCACAGATGTGACTACTTTGTAGGTGGTGCTACTGCCTCTTGAAATTCCTGTTTTAAATTAGAAAATTAAGTCACTACAGAAAAATAATCTTCACTATAATTTTCATGAAATTTAAAAAACATTTTAAGAACTGTAGGATACTTTTTTTTTAATGCATCAAAATACTGTGGCTGGATCTGTGAATTTCTTCTGGAGTGTGGGGTGTCAGATAATGTAGTTCTTGTCTTTAGTAAGTGAATAAAAACTATTGGCTCAAGAGTTAAAGTTGCTTTTTGAATTTAATTTCAGTGTTTCAAGATGTTTGAAGTTAGTTGTGTAGCTGCTGAATTGATTTAGTTGCGAAGTGTACTTCAGGGCGTGCTTTATTCATTTGTCTGTATGAACAGATTGGAAAAGGGCTGACTATATTCAGTAGAGCTAAAACATAAAGCACCTCTCTTCAGTAAAGCGCTGGCTGCTCTTTCATGGATACAGCTTTTTCTTATGGCTTTGTAAAAACAGGACCATGGGATGACTGTTGCTATAACTTATACAGGGAAAGGTCATAGTTAATGAATTTTGCAGTTGGCGAGGTAGTGTGTATACCGGGAAGTTTGTTTGGGATTTTTAAGTTGCATGTTAATTTATTTGTAGAGGCAGGAGTGGTTTAGATTTTGTTTTGCTAACACAGCAATGTAAGTAGATGTTTTACTGTCACTTACGTAGTGACCAGGATACCAACTAAATCGTATGTGGCTTTTGTTTCAGTAAGAGTAATTGAAGTGTATGTTCTCTTGTCAGATTTGATGAAAAGCAGTGAAGTTGGCAGAAACATGGTCCTGCTTAGAATACTTCATGAATGCCAGGATGTTGTTTAACTTGTGTTCTGTACGTTAATATGTTCCTGTGAAAATGTGCCAAATTTTAATGAGTTACTGTATGGTCAGAATATAAATTTACATTTTTGGGAGTGGATTTAGGTAGAGATTGATAGTGGCTAAGAATCCACTGCCCCATACATGCACACACAAACACTGTGCTGACCTAAAAATTCTAGGTTGGTCAAGGCCATTAGCCTGACAGTAAGTGGGAAGGGAAGCATATTGGTTAAATTAATCATACATATTAACCATCAGGCTCTATCATTCCAAACTGGAATTTCTTGATTAAAGTATGCTTAACTATTTCAGTTCCTGCCTTCTCTAGCTGGCCTTCAAAAGTGTCAGAAGAATTTTAGCACTTATGCTTCTTAGAACTTTCTGTAATTAAACAGTAAAAAGGCTTTGCAAACCGTTGGTGCGTGCAGTTCCATAAAATGGCTAATCTGAAATAGTTGCACTTCCAAGGTCTGGCTTAACAAAAATCCTTTGAACCAGTGCATCCAAACATAACTGAGGTTTTCTGCAATAAATGATTCTCAGAAACAAATATTTTGCAGTGTATGGCCTTGTGCCTCATGGACTGTTTGTACACTAGAGGGTTCACCAGGAGCTACTGAAGTTGTAGGATTTACAGTCATTCTAGCAAAAATGCCACTGTCTTTTTTCTTTCTTTTTTTTTTTTTTTTCCCTCCTTGATTCTTGTGATCACTTCCAGTTCAGTGTTTTCATAGTCTTATCCTCCTCCCTGGAAGGAGCATCATAGCTTCATGACGTGATGTTGGTGGGTCTCAATAAGCAAAGGGGGGTGCGTGTGTATATAATGTTGTCTAAATGCATGTGCCTGGCTTTAGGAATCCTCTTTTTCCACTACAGGAAGAAATGAATTTAGATTAATTTCCCTTGGAGCAGTTTTATTTTCAGCATCTGTTTTAGGTTCAGGTAGATAGTAAGTGTTGGGGTGGATAGTGGTATGACCAAGAATGACTGGCAGTGGGGATAGAGGTTTAGTGTGGTGGGGACTGCTTTCCTGGGTATCTGTGTGACCCTCACAGTGTAGTTGCAACATATGGAGCACGTGGCAGTGATCGTCACTGTCTTGGAATTTTGTCATCTTCAGTTTGTGATGAACAATTAACTTGTAAATAAAGGGCTAAGTCTGCTGTGAAGGTATATGGTATTATTCTGGCACAGAAATTATTGGTATTCACAAAGTTGTTGGTAACTGTGTGGTAAAGATTACAACGGGTCTCCAGCCTTTCAGCAGAAAGGAGTGTTTTGCCATTGTATTCCAATGCATCATCCTCCATCAAGGGATTAATCAGGATTCACATGAAGTGGTCTGAAAAGACCTTTGATGCTAATCTTAAAAAAATCAGCAAGGGAACTCTGTCACCCTGAAAATGTTGATTGTGTTATGATCTTGACTGTTAGTTTGGGAAAACTGTCTTTCCTCTACTTTGAATTCTAGTTAAAAGTAGAGAAACAGGTTAATGATGACTTTAATGCCTTCAGGTTGGCTGGGCCTT